GTCAGACCTTCTGGGCATGTGGGAGGGGCAGCTGACCTCCCAGCTCCTATCCCTTCAGCTCCCACCCAGTCCTGCGTGCACCAGGGCCGTGAGGTGGCCTCTGGAGAGCGCTGGACTGTGGACGCCTGCACCAGCTGCTCCTGCATGGCGGGCACCGTGCGTTGCCAGAGCCAGCGCTGCTCACCACTCTCGTGTGGCCCCGTGAGTACCGCAATCTAAGGCGGTGGGGAGGGTCAGGGTGGGGGCACATGGTACCACCATCCTGGTGTGATCAGGCATCCGAGAGGGAGGCTGGGCTCCTGCAGCCAGCTGGGAGCTGGGGACAGTGCTGTTCCCAGTGCGACCACAAAGTGGTGCCCTGACCTTGCTCACAGGGAGCCCGGGCGCTGGAGTCCTGGAGATCCCTGGAGACTCCTGGGAGATGCTTGGTTTTCCGGGAGGGTCTGCGAGAGGCATGGCCGGGAGGGCGGTGTGTCTGACAGTGTCTGGGGCTGAATGCAGGACAAGGCCCCTGCCCTGAGTCCTGGCAGCTGCTGCCCCCGCTGCCTGCCCCGGCCAGCTTCCTGCATGGCCTTCGGAGACCCCCATTACCGCACCTTCGACGGTCGCCTGCTGCACTTCCAGGGCAGTTGCAGCTATGTGCTGGCCAAGGACTGCCACAGCGGGGACTTCAGGTGTGCATCCCCCGTCTCTCTTCTCCCCAACCCCTACACCCAGCCCTGCTGACCATTGGCACCTGGGACTTTCCCGCCCACAGTGTGCACGTGACCAATGATGACCGGGGCCGGAGCGGCGTGGCCTGGACCCAGGAGGTGGCGGTGCTGCTGGGAGACGTGGCCGTGCGGCTGCTGCAGGGCGGAGCAGTCACTGTGAGCAAAGCCGATGAGCAGAGGAAGGTGGATCCCATGCTGTCCACCCATGTGCCTCGACATCGCCCCTCCTCCCACCTCCTTTATCCTCCAGGTGGATGGGCACCCAGTGGCCTTGCCCTTCCTGCAGGAGCCGCTGCTGTATGTGGAGCTGCGAGGACACACTGTGATCCTGCATACCCAGCCCGGGCTCCAGGTGCGGCTCCAGGGCGAGTCTGGGTGGGCTGCCTGCTGGGAGCTTCAGTCCTGTTTAGGCCTCTGTATCTATAGGGGGGTGGGGATGCCAGCTACCTCCTGGCCAAAAGAGGCCAGGAGTGGGGTGCAGGGCTGTGAGGGGAGGTGGATCAGGGTCAGAGATCTCCCCGGGCAGTCAGAGGAGTTCTGAGTTCTGAGACTGATTTCTAATCTTGACTCAGCCTCTTAAGTCACCAACAGCCTCCCCTGGGCCTCAGATTTCTCATCTGTAAAGTGGGGAATGGGAAGGGTCAGTGGCAGTGGGGAGGATGTCAGCTAAAGTCTCCTGGCGGGTGTCTCAGGTTCCTTCCAACCCTCATGTGGAAGGAGTAATTTGCCCCCTGCGCCCAGCAAGAAACACAACTTGTAAATTCATAGAATAAGGGTATACACTTCTAATCTGAACCCTAATTGTGCTTTGTCCTCTGCAAGGCCGGAATGCCCATGAGAAAGTGAATCCCTGGAAGGGGGTTGCATTTCACGTGGGGCCCAGTTGAGGGATGGCGGCAGGAGACGGTGCCCTCATGCAGGAGCTGTGGACAGCTCCTCCTGTCATCTGTCTTTGCCCAGGGCTGGCACAGAATGTATCCACTTGGCCTTGGCTAGGGCTGTGTTTCTTCCAAGGGGAGCCTCCATCTGTCCATTCTCCTCCCCTGCAGCACTGGCCGCGCTGAACACAGTGCCTGGGGCCATAATGGACCCTGAGCTTCTTCAGGCCCCTGTCCTTACCTGCTCCCCAGTCCCAGGCCTCTCCACACAGGTGCTGTGGGACGGGCAGTCCCAGGTGGAGGTGAGCGTGCCTGGCTCCTACCAGGGCCGGACTTGTGGGCTCTGTGGGAACTTCAACGGCTTTGCCCAGGATGATCTGCAGGGCCCTGAGGGGCTGCTCCTGCCCACAGAGGCTGCGTTTGGGAATAGCTGGCAGGTTAGTGGCACAGGAACCGGGGATGGGGGTTAGGGAAGACGCAGCTGAGCATGAGTCTCAGAGCAACCCTCTGGCATGGAAAGCGGGGAAAGGGGGTGAAGTCACACAAGATAGGCTTTTGGGCTTTCAGGGAGGTGTGTAGGCTTCTTGACTGTCTTGGTGCTGGAGAGGTAGGGAGGCTTGTTAAAAGAGGCCTCGTTGGCCAGGCGCGGTGGCTCATGCCTGTAATCCCAGCACTTTGGGAGGCTGAGGTGGGTGGATCACCTGAGGTCGGGAGTTTGAGACCAGCCTGACCAATGTGGAGAAACCCCATCTCTACTAAAAATACAAAATTAACTGGGCCTGGTGGTGCATATGCCTGTAATCCCAGCTACTCAGGAGGCTGAGGCAGGAGAATCACTTGAACCCAGGAAGCGGAGGTTGCAGTGAGCCGAGATCGCACCACTGTACTCCAGCCTGGGCAACAGGAGCAAAACTCTGTCTCAAAAAAAAAAAAGAGGTCTCGTCACCTGAACCCCCAAGCCTTGCTTTGCCACTCACTGGCTGTGTGACCTTGGACAAGTGCTGACCTACTCTGGCCTTGGTCTGTCCATCTGTAAAATGGGGACAAAAAGATGGTAGACAGTACTTCCTTTGCGTTCTTTTAGGGAGGTTTTGGGGACTAAAGCAAATGACTGGGTGGGAAGTGCTTTGAAGAGCATGGCATGCAGAGGCCAGCTGCCAGTGGTGCTGTCACATCAGGGCTGCTCTCCCCACCCAGGTCCCAGAGGGGCTGGGGCCTGGCCGGCCCTGTTCTGCAGGCCGAGAGATGGATCCGTGCCGGGCAGCAGGTTACCGTGCCAGGCGTGAGGCCAATGCCCGGTGTGGGGTGCTGAAGTCCTCCCCATTCAGTCGCTGCCATGCTGTGGTGCCACCGGAGCCCTTCTTTGCCGCCTGTGTGTATGACCTGTGTGCCTGTGGCCCTGGCTCCTCCGCTGATGCCTGCCTCTGTGACGCCCTGGAAGCCTATGCCAGTCACTGTCGCCAGGCAGGAGTGACACCTACCTGGCGAGGCCCCACGCTATGCGGTGAGGGGGTGATGCCCACTGCAGGCTGGGGGAGGGTCAGCACAGAGAAGAAGGTTAGCCCGGAGGGCTCAGGGCGGGTCCACGGTGGGTGTAATGAGTCTCGCAGTGGTACGCACAGCTACTGGGGCAGTTTCAGGTGCCTCGGTAACCCCGCCTCCCACTCCCCCCACCCCCCACAGTGGTAGGCTGCCCCCTGGAGCATGGCTTCGTGTTCGATGAGTGCGGCCCGCCCTGTCCCCGCACCTGCTTCAATCAGCATATCCCCCTGGGGGAGCTGGCAGCCCACTGTGTGAGGCCCTGCATGCCCGGCTGCCAGTGCCCTGCAGGCCTGGTGGAGCACGAGGCCCACTGCATCCCACCCGAGGCCTGTCCCCAAGTCCTGCTCACTGGAGACCAGCCACTCGGTGCTCCGCCCAGCCCCAGCCGGGAGCCCCAGGAGACACCCTGAGCCAGGACAGTGCCTGACCAGGGTTCATCAGGCCAGGAGTCTCCCCTTGGCAAGCAATTCCCACCCTGGTCAGGGCTGTGGAGAGAATGCCCTGCCTGGACAGTGGAGCCTGGGCCCCTGCCCTGCAAAGACCCCTGCTGTGTTGAGTCACAAGCAGTAAACTCTAGGCCTGCCCGAAGGCTTCCTTGTGTGTGTGTGTATTTCCTCCTGGTGCTGGGACAGAGGCTGGGCTGCCAGGAACATGGGGTCTAGTGATCAATGGCCCCAGAATCACAGCACCATGCACCCTCCTTGCACCTGCATGCCTGGACTGCCCCACCCAGCCACTCCCTGGTGCTGTCTGGGAAACCCTGCAGTGGTAGGAGGAGGACCCTGGTGCCTGGTCTTAGCCCTGTGCTCATTCTGTGTAGCAGGCATGACGCATGGCCCCATGTGGTACCTTCTGTGGATCCATGTGGGATCCTGCAGGGGCTGAGGAACCATGGAGAAGGGGCTGCATCAGAGAATGGCCTCCCCCTTCCTTGTGGCTGGGGGATACTGAATGTGCAAGCACCTTCTGGGCCACTCCGAGGGCTAGTGACACAATGCCTGGGGTGAGAAACAGGAGAAGCAACAGACCACAATGCAATATGGACATGTGCCTGCGTGTGCACACAGAAACACAGAAACACACACAGAAACATACGTCCCTCAGAAGCCCAGATAAACACATGCAATGCATACCTGCCTGCCTTCACAACCACACCCACCCCGGGCAGATGTGTGGGCAGTAGACACTGGCAGCGTCTGAAGACATCACTGTAGGGAGGGAACATGGGTTTTGAGATAGAAAAAGTCCAGAATTCAAGTTTTCTTTGCCGCCTACTCTGTGACCTTGGTGTTTTAGGGAC